TGCCGCGCGCTGGAGGCTCGCGCTCTGGGCTCGTGCGGCGCGTGGAGCTGGCCCCTGCGTCCGTCCGCTGCTGCGGCCAGGATTTATCGTCGAGTCGCACCACCGGGGAACTGGTGAGTCCCTGAATCGCTTCTGCTCGTCGGTGGCTCGGTGGCTCCATGCCTCCAGGTGTCGGGGCGAGGCCGCAAGCGGGGGTAGCCGGGTCCGGCGCGCGGGGAGGGCGCAGCTCAATGCACCCCTTCTGCCCGGCTCCCCGCAGAGCGCACCGCGCCGCTGTGGCTGGCCCGGGACTCCGAGCCAGTGGCTCCCAAGGAAGCCTTTTTGCAGGGACAGTAGAAGACGTGTTTGGGTTATTAAATTTGTTCTCAGGTTGGGTTCTACCGGCAGGTTGTCCAACTTGGCAAAGTCGTCCCTCGTTTGCATCGCATTGATGATTGATTGGTTCATCGTTGTTTCAAATTGTGTGGCTTGGGCTGCGGGTTTCCTAGTAACTGGAAATTTTCATTTTAAGTTCTTGTGAACATTGGTGTACTCGCTCAGGGTCTGAATGAGGTTCAAGTTGTCTCCAAATTTTGGTCAAACCTTTCATTTTTTTCATGGACCAAATCCACAAGAAGTTTGGAGACATAAAAATGTATATATACTTTCAAATCCCTTCCACTGTTCTTGTTTTTTTAAAAATCCCTCTGCATCTTGACATTTAATAAAGGACATTCAATTAGCACCAATATTCAGCACAGTGGGAAAGCAAGTCTTTAAACAAAAAAATATGGTGAAGAGAAACTTCTCCCCTTCACATCATTAATTAAATGAGTTAAGGAATTAAGCAACATGTACTTGAAAATATACAAGGTGTGGAAATGTAGTGCAACCTCATGGATCCCAGTCATTTGGTTTCCTCATATTGTAAACTCTTGGATAGACATATGAGTCACTTGGGCTGTGTCAATATTTAGCAGGAAAGCCAGACCAACCATCCTGGTGGAGCAAAACAGAACAGTCAGACCAGCCTACTGGAAGTCCTCATTCCATTTCAAAGAATTTGACAGCTTCCTGGTCAACTGACTGGGAGACTTATATCTACACCCATTCCAAAGAAAGGTGACCCAACAGGATGCGGAAATTCACTAACAGTCTTACAGATACTACACACAAGTAACATTTTACAGACAAAAATTCTAAAACAGTTACAGGGGTACTTTGAAAGGGAACAGTCAGAAATTCAAGCTAGATCCATTTGAGGATGTAGCACAAAGGCTGTATTACTGATGCCAGATGGATCTTGACTGAAAGCAGAGGATACATGAAAGATGTTTACCTGTGTTTCATTGGCTATGCAAAGGCATTCAACTGTGTGGATCATAACCATTGCAAAGAATGAGAATTCTAGAACATGTGTTCATGCAGAACCTGTACATAGAACAAGATGAACTTTTTCACACAGAATATAGGGAATATGAATGGTTTCAAATCAAGATAGGTGTATGTCAGGGTTGTATCCATTCATCAGTCTCAGTGTCCATCCAATATTCAGAGGAGCTGAATGGCATCAGACACTGGAGTTAACTCTTTAACTCATTAACACCCTGCAGTTGACCTAAACTTGCTTGCTGAAAGTGAAGAGGACCTGAAGCACTCACAGATAAAGATCAAAAACAGCAGCCTTCACTGTGGATTATCCCCCAAGGAAACAACAATCCTCACAGCTGGGCCCATACGCAACGTCGTGATAAACAGAGAAAATAGTTAAGTTGTCAAGGATTTTTATTTTGCTTGGTTCCATAATCAGCACTCAAAGCAGCAGCAGTCAAGAAATCAAATGAATTGTTGCATTGAGCAATTCTGCAAAACATCTCCAACGTGTTAAAGAGTAAAGATGTCACTTTGCGGACTAAGGTCCACATAACAAAAGTCATGGTTTTTACAATCACCTCATGTGCATATGAAAGTTGGAAAAACAAGAAAGAAGAAAAACAAAGAAGAATTCATGCCTTTGTATTATGCTCTTGGCAAAGAATATTGCCTATACGGTGAACTGCCAGGAGAATAGCAAGTCTTTTGGGAAGAAGTACAGCCAGAATGCTCCTTAGACACAAGGATGGCGAGACTGTGGACATGTAGTCATTAGTGGCACGTCCCTGGAGAAGGGCACCATGCTTGGCAGCATGAAGCAGAGGGATCTTTGAATAGAGGAAGCCCCTCAACAAGTTGGATTGAGGGTGCAACAATGGACTGAACATGCCCATGATTGTGAGGATGGCACAGGGCGTGTTTTGTTGTCACTTTATAGAGTTTATGTCAGTCAGAACCAAGTTGCTAGCGTCTACTACCCAGGTCAGCCATCCTTATATAGCAAGATAGAACGGTCATGTAAGAAATAGCTAATAAGAAATTTAGCAAATTTCCTGTTAAATCTGGAGTCCTGGCTTCTCAACTGAGTTGCTTTCTGTTGCATTTTTTCCCCATGAAGTTATTTTGCTGGAGAACTTAAATAAATTCTATATCTGGCTAATGTCTGATGAAAGCAAACATGTTTTCACTGATACTTAATTTTTCTGGATCCTGGACACAAAACTGACTGTGGGCCCCACAGTCAACAAGCTCCCTCCCAGCCCTGCACTTTTCCATGGCCTTGCTCTTCAGCCTGGTCTCCTAACACACAGATGAATGGCTAGGTATTCTGGCCACTCTGGCTTCCTATCCAGATTCTGTACATAGCAGCCCTCAGTCTGCAAATACTGTTAACCTACTAGATACCTCAGGACAAGGTTTAGAAGGAAGGCCCTATGCTTCCTTTTCCATGCCACTGTCTACAATTTTGTATTCCTTTAGGATTCATTGCACCCCAATGGAGTTACTTGTGGACCTTCCTTCCTAAACAGCAAGGTTTTTGAGAGTGGGGGCTCTGGTCATGTATTCCCACTGCCTCATGTCACTCTTCACAGTATAGCTAATGAATTGACATTGAATAAATGCAGATTTCCTTATATTTTAACATCTTTCTCATCCTACAGCTCAGAGTTGGAATAGCCCTCAAGTCTTAAGGAATTATTCTTGCATTTGAATATAGTAAATGATAATGCTAGTCCTAGTTGCTCAGTCTCCAAATAACTCTATGTAATGTTGGATAAATTGAAACATGACTTGAAATAATGCTTCTTAATGGAAAAAAATACTAAGTTTCTCTAGTACATACATGAGATTTCAAATTTTTCTTTTCCTCCTTGGTGTCTAAATTTAGCATTTGGGGCTATAAATATTTAATGCTCATCAGAACTCTGAATTACCAATGATGAACACTAACTCTAGCTTAAGCAGCAACAACCAAAAAAAAAAGTGTATTGGTTTGTGTAATTGACAATTTAGAACTTGATCGCAAGGACGGTCCATCTACCCATTGCCATAGCGCCCATTCCAATTCATAGTGACCCATAGGGCAGAGATCTTCATGGAGCTTCCCAGGTTGCAAGCCTTTACAAAAGCAGACTACCACAGCTCTCTCCCGGGGAGCAGCTGGTGCATTCAAGCACTGACTTTTTGACTAACAGTCTTGTGCTTAACCACTACTTTAAGTGATTCTGAATATTCAGAGTATGCCTCCAAGTCCGTCTGTTTCTCAGTTTGGTTTGGTTTGGCTTCTGTTGTGTTGGCTTTCATCTCTAACCAAAGCCATCTTTCACATAGAGATAAAGAAGCATGGCAAGCCTTGTACCATCACCTCCAAGAAATCTTCAAGGTGTCTCCTTTCCCGCCCCCACTTACATAGATAAAAAACGTCCGAGGGTTTTAGTTAATTCAACTTGAGCTGTGGGCTCATCTCTAAGCCAATTGGTGTGATCAGAGAAAATCTTCCAATTGCCATTGAATTAGCACCAACTTGTTGGCAACCTCGTGTGTAAGAATAGAACTGTGTTTCATTGGGTTTTCAGTGGCTTAATTTTTTGGAAGTAGATCTGCAACCTGTCCTCAGGAGCTTCTAAGTGGATTTGAACACCCAACTGTTAGGTTAGAAGCTGAGGGCAGTAACTGTACCACCCATGGACCATCTCCAGAGGAGAGGAGTTGGGCAACCTTCCCAAAATATGTGGTATGGAGGAGATCATTTCCCCAAATCGGGGAAATGTTTTAAATCAATAAGAAGTAAGGAACGAATGTAAACAGACAAAACAATAAGTTTTCTCAGCATGAATGTTCTGAAATTTCAAAATAAGTAACATCTGGAAGCTGTTCTGGGAGCACCTCAGAAAGGGAAATGTTCCCGTGTGCCAGGATGGCTTCTTAAGATCAAACTTTTAAAATCTGAACATAAACCTACTTCCAGAGAGAGTGTTTTACTTGATAAAGTATTTCAAGGACCGAAAATTTAGAAACATGTTATGTCTTCTGTCAACCGTATTTCTGGATAGCTAATCTGGTTTTCTTATTGAATTTCATAACTTACAAATTAGAGATGTATTCCTTTGGAAATATATTGAGAAAGAATAAACACAATGATTGATATTGCTACATTATGTTTCCCATCCATAAAAGGTGTTATGCTGAGCCTGGATAAAGATCCATAAAGGGTAAAGGAAAAGATTCCTTTATTTTAGTAAGAAATTTGACAGTAATACTTTCAATGGGCTTGGCCAGGAGAGTGGGCAATTGAGCACATCTCAATAATGAGACTAGAAATGCATGTCTTAATAAATGAGACCAACTGATTACACAGTGGGAAAATCTTGTTAGGTGCCATCCAGTTGTTTCGGGCTCATAAAGACCCTGTGTACAACAGAATGAAACATTCCCTGACCTGGCAACATCCCCACAATTGTTGTTAGGTTTGAACTCATTGCTGAAGCCATGATGTCAGGCCATCTCACTGAAGATCTTTCTCTTTTTCACTGACCCTTGACTTTACCAAGCATGCTTTCCTTTTCCAGGGCAACGTGTTACTGCCCCATCTCTGCCCCCCTTCCCCAACCAAAGCATCTGAATTCTAAATACCTTTGGGAGAATTAGCTTTTCTATTGAATAACACCCGGAGTTCAGTTCTAAAAAAAAGGCCAGTCCTACCCTTTGAATTCTGCATAAACATCCAAATCCTTAATTGCCCAGATTATTGGACTAAGAACTGTTGACATATGGTAACTGATTTGAGAGACTTAAAAATGATGAGATTAAATGTATATTTACTATATACATACAGTCACTATATTTGTATAAAAATATTTGAATTGTGCATTATCTTTTACTCTGTTCTTTAAATGAATAAACTTTCCTATATCATCCCATCGGATTGATATCACAAAAAGAATAGACTTAAAGAAGTTTTGTTTTTCTTTTTCAAGGCAGCTGAAGCCATTCTATTTTGCAGATCACTAATTTACAGTTCATCACAAATCAAGAACATTGGAAAATGAAGCCTAGGAGAAATCTAGAAGAAGATCATTTGGTAAAATATTAATTATAATTAAGAATTAAAATCTATAAACATAATTCAAATGCCATTCTATATCTTCTAATGGCCTAAAAACAACTTTCAGTCTAGTGTTCTGGTATATTACGCTGACTCCAGTCATTGCCATTGTGATGGGTGAGGATCAGTGTGCCATATGAAAGACAATCAAGGGCTTAGCTGAATGGCCTTGAATAAGTCACTGAAATCCTGGATCTTAATATATCTATAAAGTGAAAAAAATAAACCTGATGATACCAGAATCTTTCTAATTCCATCTAACATTCTTCGGTTCTGAAAGTTTGGGGGAGTTAAAAAAAGTCCACAATGACCATGTAACAGTTGTGTAAATAAGCATCCACCAACCACCATAAGTATTATGGCAGCTTACCAAGAGATTGTTAATTGGTGAATCTCTTAACCAAATTCATTTGTTGAATAAGAATCATTTGTTCCTCATTGCCCTACCCCAAGACTCAACGTTTCTGACTGCAGTATTTCACTGAAGAAATAATGGAAATGTCCAAACTCTTTACTCTTCTAAATTATCTACATTGCAGTTTTAACAGAAAGTTTATTTTAATCTTTTTAATAAGAAAAATAATTAAGAAATGATAAGCACATACTCCATAAAATAAATGCATATCATTTCATTCTTCAAGTTAGTTGTCATACTTGCTGTTCTGTAATTCTTCACCTATAACCAAAAAAAAATTGATCCCCAGTTGATTATATATCAGTTAGCTTGAGTAATTGTATGAAAGGGTCCTGGCATCAAGAAGGTGGAGAACCACTGCTCTAAATGGAGTAACTGGAGAAAGCACTGAGTATAACAGCGATTTATTACTCAAGTAAAATTCAAATGGCAAAAGAGATCATTTTTAAACACAAAAAAATTAGTGAGAACTATGTGAATTAGGCTTTCTCTGCACAAAATGAGATGAACAGAGAACCATTAAGATCATTACAAGCATTAAATGTTATCATGCTGCATAGAGTTGTAAGAAGTAAGGAAAACTATTGAGAGTAAATTTAGTCATAAAGTAGCACACTATGAAACAATTTTCTATAAGCTCTTATTTTGAGTGGGAGTTTGTTTTTATTTACTGCTATGACAGTTAATTGTCGAACTGACAGATTATTCAATTAAACCATCTTTGAAATTATTGACTATCTAGAAATATAATTGGATCAAGAACTTTTTTCAGGAAATATTAGCATCAGTGTGAAATTTGAATACTTCTCTGAGTCCGAATTGACCCAATGGAGTGAAGTTGTTTTCATTTTGTTTGTTTGTTTTTATAGCCTATGGCCTCTGTGCTTCCAGGAAGATTAAAATGAACATTCCCTGGTGTTCTCCAACCCTCTCAATTAAAAAAAAAATGTTTAACTAAAAAAAAAACGAATATTTTGTCCAGATGAGTTCTTTGAGGAATATAAAATCAAAGTATAAGACTATATGATGGAAATTACATATTTATATCTAACATCAATGACTATTATTATTGATCCTCTATATTAAGAAGTATTTGCTTTTCAAAGCTTTATAGTTATCCAACACCTATTAAAAATATCACAAACACAGCTTCACAATCTACAACTATTTTTATAAGGCATAATAGTTGTTTTTATTGCTTTTTTTTTCTTTTACTATTTTAAGTGGTACTAGTGATTCTTATAAGGAGTCCTGGTGGCATAGAGGTTCTGTATTGGATTTTTAACTTAAAGGTCAGCAGTTCAAAATCACCAATTGCTTCTCAGAAGAAAGACGAGGCTTTCTACTCCTGTTAAGGAGTTATCCTCTTTGAAACCACAGGAGCAGTTCTACCTTGCCCTATAGGGTTGCTACCCTGTTTCCCCGAAAGTAAGATGTCCCCCGAAAATAAGACCTACTTACAGTTTTGCCTCTAGCTGACATATAAGGTATCCCCTGAAAATAAGGCCCCCCAAAGCTACCGTGACTCTGGACCATAGCGGCGGTGCCATGGCACAGCTCACTGTTGGCCGCAGCGCAGACGGAGCAGACAGGAAGTGTGAGGTCTCTTTTAATAAAACAATAAATGTGTACCGTATTCGTCTTCATGGAAAAATAAGACATCCCCTGAAAATAAGACCTAGCGCATCTTTGGGAGCAAAAATTAATATAAGACACTGACTTATTTTCGGGGAAACACGGTATGTATGAGTCAGGAATGACTCAGTAGCAGTGAGTTTTTGGAATGATTCTTTTTCTACAATTTGTTTAAGCAGTGATTCATCAATTTGCTTGGAGGTGGGTACACTTCAACTCTGTTCATTTTGCTGAGAACAGACATTTCTACCCCTAGTACACTGAAAAGGATCTACCTCAAGGTCCTAGGGATCTTGCTAAAATGTAGATCCTGATTCAGGATATCTGAACAAAACTGATCAGGTTTGAACCCTTGCTTTTCTTAATGATCTCTTAGTAAACTGCCCTGATACCAATGGGGGGGGGGAAATGCCTGTTTGCAAAGTTTACCAGTTAGAATGTTTTTACACCTTCAAAGGAGAAATATGATAGATGGTATAAGCTTCATGAAGGTATTTGAAGCATGTACTTCTTAAAGAAAATTGAATAACAAAAATTAATGGAAGATTGTGGTAATCATTCCACAACTCTTCTTCATATGATATGTAAATTATATGCCAATAAAACCATTTTTTAAAAATTCATGGAAAGCCCCAGTGTAGCTCAGTGTATCTTTGATCAGTATTACAAACACTGATACACCATCTTCAGCTAATCAGTATCCAAGAGAAGGTCAAAAAGGCCCTGTTTCACTAATGTACATAGTGATTGAGCAATCAAGAATTAATATAAGTGAAATGCCATTGTTTTGTTCAATTTTATTTAAGATATTTCTTTTCTTTCCATTGTAGACTAAGGACTCCGGAGAGAGGAGCATGTTGAAAAGACCTGTGCTTTTGCATTTACATGAAACAACCCATTTTGATGAATTTGATTGCCTCTCAGAGCTTCAGCAAAAACAGGAATTCTTTCCAAAATGGCAACTACCAATTAAAATAGCCGCCATCATTTCTTCTCTGACTTTCCTGTACACTGTTTTGAGGGAAGTAATTCATCCTTTAGCAACTTCCCATAAACAGTATTTTTATAGAATTCCCATCCTGGTCATTAACAAAGTTTTGCCCATGGTTTCTATCACACTCTTAGCACTGGTTTATTTGCCAGGTGTGATCGCCTCAGTAGTACAACTACTGAATGGAACCAAGTATAAGAAATTCCCACACTGGTTGGATAAGTGGATGTTAAGCAGAAAGCAATTTGGGCTTCTCAGTTTCTTTTTTGCTGTTTTGCATGCCATTTATAGCCTGAGCTATCCAATGAGGCGATCCTACCGATACAAGTTGCTAAACTGGGCATATCAACAGGTAGGATGATGACGTTATCAGCATCACTAAATTTAAGTCTGTGCCACCTAAAAACGTACCTGTTCCTTAAATATCACTATATGACAGAAATGAAAGATTGATACTTAAGAGCTACAATAACAGGCCCCTGTTGAGACTCTGTTATGAAAGTACTCTACATCGATTCATTATTCATTGTGACTCTTCAATGGGATTTGGTTTTATAGTTTTCCATTGAGGAATTATGTTTTTAAGCTGAGAAAAGTGAAGTCCAACTTTTAATAACTTCACTTGGTCATTCATGCTCAAGGCCCCATTTCTGCCACTTGCATAGACTTGCTTTAAAGCACATGTTTGTACATGTTGTAAACCTGAAAATAATGATCGTATAAAGCAATAAAAACGAGTATATAAATGTTGCATTAGAAGAGAATAATCGCTCCTGTGCCACTTCTCTCAGAGGAATGAAAAAAATCGTAAATTGGTGGAGGGGCCTAGTGATCAGGGCTTCTGTGTTACACAGAACAGGAATTAAAAGGGAATTAAATTAAGAAGGAATTAACAAGACTAAAGTGCAGCGAATGTGGTATTAGCATTCCTTTTCTCTTTTTTCATCCACTGGTAGGTACAACAAAACAGAGAAGATGCCTGGATTGAGCATGATGTTTGGCGAATGGAAATTTACGTGTCTCTGGGAATTATGGGACTTGCGATACTTGCTCTGTTGGCTGTGACATCTTTACCATCAGTGAGCGATTCTTTGACTTGGAGAGAATTTCATTATATCCAGGTAAAAAATGTGCAAGATCATACCAAGGACTCAGATAGAAAGTACATGTTTAGAAAATGATGATGGCAACATATATACAAATATGTTTGATACAATTGATGTATGAATTGTTTTAAGAGTTGTAAGAATCCCCAATAAAATGATCTTTTAAAAAAGCCACAGAAACAAAACAATAGTTGAATGTAACTAATTTATAATATAAATTTTAAAAAATAAAAAATCCTACATTTCTTCTAATTAATAATGTGATGTTCTACATTTTACCTTATTACTTTAAATATGAAAAGTGTTTTCTAAGGATAAATAAAGGCTGTTCCTCAGAAAATATTCTCACACTTGAATCTTCGTAGTTTTTGTTCAATTTTGTACCAATTTAATAACTACAAATATAATGTTTTAAGAATCCATGGTTGATTACCTCACAGGAAAAAAATATCCTTTTAGCTACTCCCTAATTTTATTCATCCTTTTTAAATTACACAGTTTTGTATCTAGAAAAAGCATCTCCCTTGAAATAAGGAGCTTTGGCCAAAAAAAACAGGTATTCTACTTTTAAAGGCTTCTGTTTCCGAATTGCATTTTATGTAGCTTTTTCAATTGAAGGTTCTAAATATTCTTGGAATTCAAAAGCTCAAATTTATTGATGTTAAGTAATTTATAGTTGACTACACCCCAAAGAGAGCAACCTGCCAGAGTTCATGAGATAATCCAGGTAATCTATGAGCATCTGATTTGACTGAAAAGTTTGTCTCCATCTGGATTATGCCAGCATGATTTAGAAAAGGCGCCACGTTATTTTTAAGTCATTTTATTGGGGGCCCATTCAGCTCTTATCACAATACATATCCATGTGTCAAGCACATTTGTACATTTGTTACCATCATCATTTTCAAACATTTTCTTTCAGCTTGAGCCCTTGAAGCATACATAATATTTACAGATACTGTAGACTCAGCCTGATAGCTCTTGGAGTTTTTGTACCTCATTATATGGTTTTCTTCTTATATTTCTTTGCCATCGTAGATATGCTGAGCACTACCTTTCAGATTTAATGCGAACTCAGAATAATGCATTTTGACAACTGAGTCCATTCTACTATGCCCCCATAATAAATATACAGTATGCATTTGGTAAAAGTAATCTTCAAGCAAACCCACTCAAAATCTGAGGATTCACATAAAAATATAAACTGAATTATCTGATTGTGTTTATTTGAGTTTGAGAGTACTGTTGATTAATTACGAATGGGAGTCATTCTGACAGACTGTCATCCTGACGTTACTGCCCACTTACAGTAAAGTGAATAAACGGCAAGAGTCGCCCAGAGGACCTACTTATTACCTTGTTAGGATGCCATGGATTACATAGGTGAACAACTGTTTTTAAGCAACTTTATCTGGAAAGTGCGAAGCATCACTACAGCTGAAATTTTTCTTCACATCTCCAGATCTATTTTGTTCAAACGTTAACATATTTTGTGGTATTGTTCCATTTTATCATGATGTTTGATTTTTTAACACATAGGCCAGGCAAAATGAGAGTCCGTTACTTTTGCTGTCTTCATGATCGATAAAGATAATGGCAGCCAAATCGATTTTTACAGGGGTCTTTAGTCAACCCACCAGGACTGACTGAGCACCTAAAAGGTGCCTACCATTCTGCTGGTTCTGAAAGAGTCGCTGATGACTAAGCCATCGTCCCTAACTTTAGATGTCAGAATTAAACAAATACACAAGAGACAAAGCACTCTGACCGTCATGAGAGAGATGAGCAATGTGGTGGACAAAAGAGGGCGGATTTGGTCATCAGTTGAGGCAGAAGGAGGAAGGTCACAAATGTTCCCATTTAGATAGCCTGGAGACAAGGACATTGCCCAAAAGGGAAGGGGGAAAGTGAGAGCATGTAAAAAGAGTGTAAATATACGAATGAACATTGGTGGAAAAGGGGAATCAAAGACAAGATGAATGGAAGCATTTCCAAGCAACAACAGCTCTAGAGAAAGTAATATGAATGAAAATCTCTTGAAACAATCTTCACCAAGTTAATCTTACACTCTCTTTTTTTATTTGTATTATTTGCAGAGCAAGCTAGGAATGATTTCCCTTCTGCTGGGCACAATACATGCATTGATCTTTGCCTGGAATAAATGGGTAGATATAAAGCAATTTGTGTGGTACATGCCTCCAACTTTCATGATAGCAGTTGTCCTACCAATTGTTGTCCTGATATGTAAAGCCATACTGTACCTGCCATGCTTGAGGAAGAAGATCCTGAAGATTAGACATGGTTGGGAAGATGTCACCAAAATTAACAAAACTGAGATATCTTACCAATTGTAGAGTTAATATGTTTACACATTTTGTTCAATATTGATATATTTTATCATAAAACACTGCAAAATGTATTTGTTTAATAAAGACAACCATGGGGAGTTTTAACTATCTCTTCCTTCCTGACTAATGAGTATATATATAGTGTGACCAGACATCCCGCTTTTGGCGGGCCAGTCCCGACTTTTAGCGTTTTTAAAAAGTCCCAATTTGGGCCTCCACTCAAGCACTTACTCAATGCAAGAGCACGTTGTTCTATTAAATTGGCATTCCAGGATGCACACCTTCCCGACACAATTTCTGAAGAAAAAAGTGAACCTAAGCAAATGTGGTGAAGAAAGCTGATGTTGCCCGACTATCAAAAGATATAGGGTCCTAAAGGTTTGAAGATAAACAAGTGGCCATCCAGCTGAGAAGCATCAAAGCTCACATGGAAAAAGCACACTAGCCTGTTTGACCACGAGGTGTAGAAGGGACCAGTTATCAGACATCAAAGACCTAAAAATCATATCAGTGGGTGCCCACCTTCCTGATACAATTACTGAAGACAAAGGTTGCATAAGCAAATGTGGTGAAGAAAGCTGATGGTGCCCTGCTATCAAAAGATATAGCATCTGGGTTCTTAAAGGCTTGAAGATAACCAAGCGGCCAACGAGCTCAGAAGCAACAAAGCCCACATGGAAGAAGCACACCAGCCTGGGTGACCACGAGCTGTCAAAGGAATCAAGTATCAAGCATCAAAGAACAAAAAATCATATCATTGTAAAGAGTGGAGACTCAAGGCCCATCGGTAGGCAACTGGACATCCCCTTACTGAAGGGTTGTGGTGTGGAGATGAACCAATCAGGGTGTAGGGTAGCAACGATGAAACATATAACTTTAGTTCTTGAATGCTTCCTCCCCCCCCCCCACTATCATGATTCCAATTCTACCTTATAAATCTGGCTAGACATTGGTACAGATAGAAATTGGAAACAGGGAATCCAGGACAGATGACTCCTTCAGGACCAGTGGTGAGAGGGGCAATGCCTGGAGGGTGAAGGGAATGTGGGGAGAAAGAGGGAACCAATTACAAGAATCTACATATAGCCTCCTCGGGGTATGGACAGCAGAGAAGGGGGGGGGGCGTCGGACAGTGTAACTTATGACAACAATGATGTGTGAATTATGGAGGGTTCATGAGGGAGGGGGGAAATGGGCAGCTGATATTAGGGGCTAGAGTAGAAGCAAATGTTTTAAGAATGATGAGGGCAGCGAATGTACATATGTGCTTGACACAATGGATGGATGGATGGATGGATTGTATGAGCCCCCAATAAAATAATTTTTTTTAAAGTCCCAATTTTTGGAAAGAATGCACGACAAGCTAGGAAATGGTCTATTTGGTCCATATAGACCAAAATTTTAATCAGTAACCCCCACCCACCCACCCCCGGTCAATAGTGCCCCACTTTAAATCTGGTCACCTTAGTATAGTAGCCCCAGACCTCAACACTAATCCATTCTAGAAGAGCGTCAACATGCAATGCAGTCAAGTTCTGAATCAATTTTTCCCATCAGAAATAACTGAAAACAGATTAATTCATTCTCCACCAAGTTTTTACCCTATCCTTGCCTTTTTACACAAAACATTACGCAGAAATTTCAAAGTAAATAAGTTCAGGGTTAAATATTATAAATTAGAAACAACATTTTAAAAGTTTTTAACAATTGCAGTATGTCCCATACCTTGAGATTGATGAGGATCTGGATCTGTGGACACGGATGTGGAGAAGAGGGGCAGAGAGCTGGGGAGGTTGCTGCTCTTCAGGAGTTTTTTCCCTTCTTTGCATTTTTTCACTAGGACCTGGCTGGCTTTCTCTAAAAAATAATCTGACTAATGTGGTCTGCTGTTGGCGTTTCCTTAACTGTTTTCTAAAAGGGTTTACTAAGTTATCAGCAACAATATCGATAACATGGTTAACCAGTTCCTTATCATGATGATTCTTTTCAAAAAACTTCCTTAGAACCCATATTTTTAATCTAAAAACAGTACAAAAGCCACAAGAACTAAGAAAATTATAACAAAACGCTTGGAACACAGCTGCAAAAGGTTTAAACAATGCCAATTAATGCCGAGTAAAGGAAACGAACTGCTTTTGTTTATCAAAATCACGTGCGTTGGGTTGGATTCCAATGTTTTCCTTGAGCTCTGATGCAACATTTTCTCATCATTTCACGTCAAAATCCAATTATGTCAAGTACTGATGCGGTCAATTACCAGGGTTCTACTGTAGTTCCTCCCATGAATCTCAACAAAAAAAATACTATTCCTTATCACATTATACTGTGTTCCTTAAAGCCAAACAATCACAATCGTAAGCTTTCACAGGACTGTCACAGATCATCTGTCAGAATACATGGCATAATCAATAAGAAAAAGCCTTGAAATATGAGACCTTGCCACCCATTGCACAAATACCATGAAGTATGAAGATTGCTGTTAAAACACACAATATTCATTTTCCTAGGACAAAGTTTTATCCATGGAACACATTTCAAAACAAAGAGATTGTGTCTGCATTGGCAAAGCAACAAAGTAATAGCAGATAGACATGCTTAAATAAAATAAAACGTAGGTGATCAAGGAGAAAAAGTAAGTTCACTTGCGTACCGCTCAATGCATTGGAGAAAGCATGTCATGAACCAATTCCTCAAAGAGTAAGCTGTACACTGGCTATCATGACTAAGGTAAGGTGACCAAACGTCCCGCTTTTGGTGGGACAGTCCCAGTTTTTGGCGTCTTTAGAAAGTCCTGATTTTTTTAAAGAATGTACAAGCTAGGGAACGGTCTATTTGGTCCATATAGATCAAATTTTTAATCAAGAACCTCCACCCCACCCCCGGTCAATGGTGTCCCACTTTAAATCTAAACTTGAATGAACTTGTGAGGTTTTTCATAAATTTCAAGAGTAACAAGCATTTCATTTCATACGGGTTAGCCATTTATGATGCTAATGCTAAAATGTAAACTAGGAAACACTCATTGGGTGGAGTTCAGATTTTTCCTTTTTTTTTTTTTCCACTTCATTAAAAACAAAGCACTGCTGTTGGTTCCATTCCGTCGGACATGGAACCGAGCAGCTCATATGGGCTCACTAGTGACATGAAAGGACAGAGTTGAGCTACTGCTTAAGGCTTCTGAGACTAAATCTTTACAGGAACAGACAGCCTCATCTTACTTCCCTGGAGTGGCTGTTGGGTATTGGGCTTGAACTGCCAACCTTATGGTTAACACAACACTCAGCCCACTACACCACCAGGATTCTTTTTACCCTTCATACATGTGTATGTGTGTGCGTGGAGCAGCATTAGATGCTGTGTAGTCGTTCCAACTCACAGTGGCCCTACATACAACAGAAAGAAACACTGCCCAGGCCTGGGCCATTTTCACAATTGTTATGTTTGCACCCATTGTTGCAGCTACTATGTCAGTCCATCCTGTTGAAGGTCTTCGCTTTGTCCTGAGGCTCTACTTTACCAAAGAATGATGTCTTTCCCCCGAGACTGCTTCTTCCCAATAACGTGCAAAGTACGTGAGACGAAGTCTTGCCATCCTCACTTCCAAGCAGCCTTTTGGCTGTGTCTCTTCCGAGACAGATCTGTTCTTTTTCCTTGCAGCACATGGTACAGTCATGAGTTTTGGCCAACACCATAATTCAAGTATAACGTGGAGAGTAAAGGTAAATAATTAAGTGGGAGAGAGATAAATGAATGTATCTTCTACTGGAAACAAACCTTCATAGGCAAAATACTGATCAATATCCAGATATTGCCACAGATGTTGTCATGGGAAGTATAGAGACAGTGGACAAGAGCTTAGACATCTGAATCATGTGAAATTGACTCTTGCCTACTGTTTCAAGTTTATACCCCCCAGAAAGTCACATAAACTCTCTTTGCCTTGCTTTTCTTAGCCATAAAAGTAAAGTAAAATGACTAATTACCTCACATGTCTTCCTAGGGTTTAAATGAGATTATCCATTTAAAGTGCTTCTCACAGTACCTGACATACAGTAAAGGTTCAATAAATAGCAGCCAGTATGATTACCATGCTCTTCATAACCATCACCATCACTGTTCATAGAGGCCTTATCCACCAACTCACTTTTCAAGTATCACGTTACCCAGCATTTTACATTTATGATAATAAATATCTACTGCCCACTGTTTTGTGCATTAACTGTGTACATTTGGCAGTAATGAGCCCCCAGGTCCAAGGCAAGAGTAACGCTAGCCACGATGTGTCTTTTTAACTAGCCTCTGACTCAATGGTTCGGCAGTTATGCAATGATGCCCCATTTTGTGATCTGATGTGGTCATTCCACATTTTTTGAGTAATCATATAATGACAGGTCTTCATAGTAAACATCTCAATATATGAAAAGGTTGTAGAGTAGCTGAAGCCTATGTTCAATCCCACATATCAAGACCAAAACACATTGCCCAAAACTAATTCCAATAGAACTGCGAGATAGGTTTCCAAGTCTATACTATTTACAGAAGCAGACTACCACATGTTTCTCCTGGGGGGTGGATTCAAACTTCCAACTTTTATTTATCAGCAAAGCACTGAACCACTGTTCCACCAGGGCTCCTTATATCACGGCAAACCAAAAATAGGGCCCACTGTCATTGAGTCACTTCCAACTCCTAGTGACCAGGAGGTCTTCCCATCACCTAACATCTCCTAGCATGTCATCTGAATCCCAAACAGATCACCCGCTGCTGGGGAAGAGACAAAGGAATTAGTTACAATAGTGGTCACCATTGTGTCAGTGTTTTCTCTGATTGGCTCCCCAACCCTAATATCTAACAAGCAATAAGAGAGGACCAAATCAAGCACTGTGGGTTGCATCATAGGAGAAGAATCCCTACTGTACAGAATCCAAATGCTTCATGAGGCAGCAAGCCTGCCTGCCCTTTGCTCAGAGGGAAGCATTACCGGCTTGCCCTCTGCACCATCTTCCAAGTCTGTTAGCAAACTTGCTCTTTGCTTGAAAGGAACACACGATCTGTGTTTTCCAACTGCCTTCGCTTTAAGACACAACCTAAAAAATAGTCCAGAGCAA